TGAAAGAGCCAACATACATTCTCTATAATTGCCCTGATGAGGATGATGAGGAAATATACTACTGAGTTGAAAAATATCATTAATACTGCCTGTGAGTTTACCCATGTGACATTAAATTTAGTAGCAACTAATTTATAAGAGAGTACAGTAGAAATAAATAAAAATTGGGTTACAATGTGGGTATATAGCCTAGGAGAATACGTATACATCACAAAAATTAAGCCAATGCTGATAAGAAGACCCAAAAACAGTGGTATTGTTTGTTTGTTAAATTTCTTGTAAAGCTACTTGAGAGCCATATACACTAGTCATCACTAATTCTGAAGTGATAGACTAGAAAAAAAGGCAGCTAGTCAACACGACACACCACCAACTCTTGAGCTATTCTTTACCAAAAAGTAGTGGGAGTGACCACCACATAAGACCCCCACAGCTGAGAGGGTAAGCATATTCAGCAATGAGATTTGATCCAGAACCCTAACCACCAGACCACAACCAATAGTAAAAAAGAAACAAAAATGTAGTATACTGTACTTCACAAACTAAACAAGATCCATCAAGGTTTGATATGTAATTATCAAGGCAAAAAGAAAGTATAAGCATTTTTTGATAATATAGGTCAGGGGTCTCCAAACTACGGCCTGTGGGCCACATCCAGCCCGCAACTTCGGTTTATCCGGCCCGCCAACAGTTTATTAAAGTAATAATATAATTTTTTAATATTATAAAAACAAAAAAATAAGATGTAATTGAGCAAAAGCCAATCTGATCATTTATGCATCCTTACTTCATGAGGATAATGATGTGTGTAACTGGATGAAATGATGCTATTTTGTGAATTCTGTTTATGTGTAAAGTTGAAAAAAAATGTTTTTAACAAAAAAGTTTGTTGAATATATTTGAATGGTGGGTTCCACTGTTTGTGTAGTAGAGGAAAGATTGAATGACCTAAACTCTGCTAAAGCTAGCCTAATTGTCATTAGAAGCAAAACTACATAAAAATTAAGCTTATCAAAATATCCAGAGCTAGAGATGCATAATGCAATCTTTGTCTACCAAGTTAACATGCATTTTACATAAAATCCAAATATAAGCATTATTTAAGTATTACTTCTAAGCCTAGAGGACATCAGTAAAAACCAAAATAATCCAATTGAAAGCCCAGTATATATGAAAACTCATAGTTATTGCAAAGTGATTATGTACTAGCAAAACAAGTGGAAAATTGTGGTATTTTAACCTGATTCCCGTTATAAAATTGAGCAGACATTTTTAGTGGTGTGATCTTTATCTAAGGAATTATGTGTTCAAAGTTTTTAAATAACAGATATTTTTGAAATGAGCAAACGTTAAAAAAACAAGTCCAGACTTTTTGCTTAATGAATATGCTTACACTGTGAACCTCAGGGTTCATGATTTGCATCCTGATGCCATCATAATGAGGACCCGCATCTTGGGTGCAATATAACTTAAGAGTGACAGTCAAATTCTACTATACAATTAAATTCATGTAACCCAAGAATCAGCAGTGAGAGTTGTTAAATAGCTGCTACCCCTTTTGTTCATCAGTTCAAAACTAGGAATGACTATGGAGAGATAGCTCTTTATGTAGCTATGCACCAAAGATTTGAAACAACCAAACTGAACAAATCATAAAGAGGTTAGTTTCTAAAAGGCGAGTTATTTAAACTGGTATATACTTTTTACTATGGGGATTCACTAAAGCTGTATAATGAAATAGATTTACGTATGTGTTTAATAATGCTATATAACATTCACCACAGCGTTCAGCTAGCTCAATCCCTTTACAACATGTCTCTAAGTCTGGTGGATAAAAGTATCAAATAAAACGAAATTACGATATTTACGGACAAAACTTTTACGTATAATCTTGATTCCTTAAACCCGTGGGGTACGGTGGGGGGTAAGCCAGTCTTCTTCATGTTGGCGGTCTTGTTATTTATACTTTACCCACGCTGAAGAAACATCAAAACCGTTGGGCCTAAGAATGTTTTTTTTAATTGTGCAATATATATATATATATATCTGTTGTTTTGTACCTACGAAAACATAAACAAAAAATGTTCACGAGTCTTCGTAAGCTACGCCCAACGAGGCTATTTATTCTATATTAGAATTATCCAGGCATATGAAAAGTTGATATATATAATTCACTAGCTGAAGTACTCGTTTAATGCACAAGGCTTCAAATAATAGCTTAATATAGATAAGCCCAGTCATTATTATCTTCATACTAAAGCTTTATAGCTATAACGATTTATGGTGATAACTAAGATTTCACAATTAAAATAGCAAGTTTTGTCGTGTTTTTTGTTGTTGGGGCTGAAATTACCAACCAAATTCCTTTACTAGAATCTCCTGAAGATTTCATTAAAGTTGACTAAAAATTATCTGAAGTTACGTTGCACGTTGTTTAAATACATATGTATGTGTGTGTATTTTCTTACTGTAAAGCCAATTCGAGCTATCTGCTGTGTCCATCGAGGGGAATTGAACCCCTGATTTTAGCGTTGAAAATCCGAAGACTTACCATTGTCCCACCGGGGGATATGATAATCAAGCTGTGATTTTTTGAGGGATGAAGATTAAACATCACAAAAGTCGTGTCCGTCTGGTGGTAAGTATTCTGAAGTCGGGCATTAAAAGTTATAACCCTGGACTGTGAGACGTGAAGTTTCTCTTTAATTTAGCACGTCAAAAGCATTTAACGAATTATAAAAAAAAATGGTTTTGAACCGTTTCAACATAATAACACTTTTCAGAACAACACTACGAAACATCTATACAACCATCTTGACAAACTTGAAGAGGGAAGGCTTGTTCTCTGCTGTTAAGTGCCTATTTTGAGTTGCGATGGGATCCAGTGCTCGAATGAATAGAACATGCTCTATATTTGAAATCTAAACTCTAACTTCATAGAGACTTCAATATATAAATGTTGACGAGACGATTGTCCGCATGACGCTCTACTGAAACGTTCGGGCAGCCGCCTTTCTAGACTTTCAAAACGTCGTCTGAAGTGAAAAGTTAAAAAAAGTCTGACATTGGTTTTACTACTTTCTAGATGCGCGTGTCTCTACCGTCATGCGCGAGTTTATATTACACTATATTATATCTATGATTTTAAACCATATTAATTTAACACTTTTTGCAAGAAATTATGCCGTACAGTAGTAGGTGAACACGTATTTTGTACAATTTAACTAGTGAATATGGAGCACTTAGGACTACGTATTTGAACTACACAGTCATTGCTGAGCATTTCAATTTAAATATATACTACAATGTCATAAACGCTTCATTTTCCGTACTTAAACCACAAAGTAATAACTAATCTTAACCTAAGTATTCAGTAATAACTGAAAGCATATACACTACACACATATTAAGTGGTAAACCGTCCAAAAGCAACAACTCAACGTCAGGGTGTTCAACTGACTTTATGACCTTAACCTACTTATAACTTTTTAAACATTTACAAAAGAAAAGAGCAATAAGGCGAGAAAATAGAGTTTAGCATATGATGCCCTTGATAAAGATCATTGCCACATAACACTATTCAAGATACAGCTCCTCAGGTGTTTCTTTAACTTGTGTAAAATGTACTAGTATCATGCTTGTGTATACTTTTGGCTTGAAAACAGATTTGTTCAAGTGCTAGAATATGCTAAAACAGAACTGTGCAAAACGCATACTTTTATCATCAAAAATACTTGTTTACGTTCTTAATCTTCTAACAATGTTTTTGTTTGAAGTCAGTTATTAAAAAAGTTGTGTGAAAAAATGTACACTTTATTACACAAGAAGTAATAATAATACGTCTCTATAAGCACTTGGATAAATGACAAGTTCAGTTACTCACTTGGGAACTCAATAAAGAGATTAACTGAGCACTTGATTACGCAACAAAGACATTCAGTTAAGCACTTGGATAGGCAACAAGAGAGTCAGTTGAGAACTTGGATAGGCAACAAAGAGATTCGGTTGAGCACTTGGATACGCAACAGAGATTCAGTTAAGACTGACAAGAAGACTTATTTAAGCACATGGATATTTATGCTTTTATTTGCACAAGGACAATGACGTTGTACAATGCTCTTGTTTGTAACAACAGATTTGTGTATATCCTTAAACACCAAAAATGTGCATATTCAAGTACATACGTGTATAATAACACACCTGTTAATTACTTATGTTAATTACTTATAGATTGCGTAAAATATATTTTTGTTAACCCAAACAACGGATTCGAATAAAACATGTATTTCTTCACGCACTAAATGATTTAGGAAGCACTAAAAATACATATTTTCAAACAATAAGTTTATGTAAAATCGCTGATGTAATTGTTAATACTATATAAAACACAAAGGGTTTGCGAGATTTTTGTTTTTTTACTTGTAACAAATTACACACCTAGATTTTCTAAGCAACGCACATTTTGTTCCAAAAGTTGAGACTCTCGTCGTAGATATATTCTTATCACGAACTATTTTCAAGTAAATATTATCTGGTGTCAAACCTAAATCCTACATTGCTTTAATGATTTTTAATTGTTAGACATATTACAAGTTTCTTAATTGAACATCAGATCCGTGAAGCTATTCAAAACTGTTTACTTACTCCCAAGAATTTGGCGTCGGTCATCTCCTCTCTAACAAACGTCGGAGGATCACAGTGGACCAGGTACCAGCACTCGCTGGCAACATTCCCAAAATAAAACAGTTACTCTCTGAAGAAAAACGTGCAGAATCCTTAGTGGATGAGATCGTGTGTGCTCCTCTTCACAAACGTATACATTTCCTTCCCCCACGCAGCTTTTAGTTTCTAATTTAACTTAGGTAAAACAATTCTCAATTTAAAAATGAAAAGAAGAAAAAACAGCGACGTAAACTCCTAAACACGTATCTTACCCTCGATACGGTATCATATCAGTTAGAAACATACGAGTGTGAAAGTTTACAAAAGCTATAACTTACCAGAGGCATACAGTCCAAGGAAAGATGGGGATCGTTACTGTTTCCGATGGCCCCGCAGGCTACCATGAGCATCAACTGTAATCGGCAGATCGTTCAGCGCCGCCTAGTGATACGATTTGGAAAACTAATGAGGAACGTAGAATTTCACAAAAAATAAAATCAAAAATAAGTAACTAAAAAAACTATTGGTAAATACAGACATACGAAAATAACGAGATTATAAGTTGTGTTTGGTTATAAATTTTAGTTTTTACGTAGATTATAGTTTCCAATTAAATAAACAGTGTAAAAAAGTACCTATATTTATATATGCTTCTAAGCACACTAACAACTGTACCGAAAATCTTTGAACATATTATTTAGCATAACCCTCACAGCTATATCATAAGAAGCTATAAAAATTATGATAACTTTTCGGCTATAATAAACTTAGTATTCCGAAAACTGTTTAATTTCGAAGTCTAAGTTCAAGGGAGGTCCAATTCAATCTATACTTTGATCAACGTGTGTTACTGAGTTATACTAGTTTCGAATAATTACACTCCTCATCAGTAACCCTGAACACAAGAGAGATAAGCAGTGTGTTTGAAACTTTTCGGCTGTCTGTGTTATACATAGTACATACTCAGCATGTTACAAGATATTAGCACCTGTACTACAGTATAGGAACTAGTCATTTTAAATACGCACACACAAAGTAATGTCTGTCCGTTTTATAATTATGATGTATCATGATGAGACCCCGTTAAGCCTAATGTTCTTCATTTACACAAGCAATGTTGAAACGATTATACATTCAGCCAAGTTCATAAAACGAAACATGCCGATTCAATATCCAAAAACTGAAACAAACCGGTGTTAATGACATGGTAATTTGAAGGTTTTTAACTATTTTCAAATCATCAATTCAGTATTGACAAGCTTTTAGCTCAATATTCTGAAACATACTCAACAATACAGGGTTAAAAAAAAAGAGATCATTTGAAGGTTTCAACTATTTTTAAAATCAACAATTTAGTATTCTTACTGTTTTTTTCTGAAACTGGAACGTTCCGGCAACAACATGAGGGTTAACGAAAAGCAATAGGAGCCCGTCTAGTTATAAGTACATTACTGATTGATAATGTGATTACCGTTAGTTGAAGGGAAGTATCTTATATCAATCTACACATACACCCAACTTACATCTCAGTGACTTTTCACTCCATTTGAATTACAAACGCTTAAGGAAATTACGAATAAAATAGTTATTTCTGGTAAATGAATAAAAAATATTTATTTTATAATTTGTAATTATTACATCGTGAACTATTTAACATAAGATTACCGTGGCCCGCTTTCAACTTAGTATTCAAATACCTTTATCGTTCATTAAACTTCCTGAGTAACCCATCGAGTTTAGTCAATAATGCTATAAATCTTTGACCCCGTGATATATCTCGACTGTTTGAATTCTACTAGATTAACGTGAAGTTGTTTGTACACTCATTTAATACTATGCAACCTTTAACGTGAAGTTGTTTGTACACTCATTTAATACTAAGCAACCTTTAACGTGAAGTTGTTTGTACACTCATTTAATACTAAGCAACCTTTAACGCGAAGTTGTTTGTACACTTATTTAATACTATGCAACCTTTAACGTGAAGTTGTTTGAACACTCATTTAATACTATGCAACCTTTAACGTGAAGTTGTTTGTACACTCATTTAATACTATGCAACCTTTAATGTGAAGTTGTTTGAACACTCATTTAATACTATGCAACCTTTAACGTGAAGTTGTTTGTTCACTCATTTAATACTATGCAACCTTTAATGTGAAGTTGTTTGTACACTCATTTAATACTAAGCAACCTCTTAAGTTACTCGATGACGAACATTATGGAATTCTGTAAAACTTCAAGTTATTTACAATCCTTTACAAGCATTATAAAGTGTACTCATAATAAATGAATACATAAGGCACGATACTGAATTCTAGAAACCATTTCATTCATCCATTGTGTAATAACGACTTCTTCAGGTATTAAAGTAATATTATGTTACTTACGTTTGTGAAAAAAAAGTGATGTTGAAATATACGAGCATAGTTTCGAGTTTATCTTTTACTATTATTATTATCATGACTTCAGAAACACAAAACAATAGTGCAGTCGAAACCACTACGTTTAACACCCCTATTTCATTATTTAAATATATTGCACACCGACCCCATAAATTTATCAGCAAATTCAGAGTAAATGTAGTGCAAAATAAACAACCATTTTGAGTTTCAGTGTGGGACGCAGGTTGGTTCTATGGTAAAGCTCTGGATTTTGGAGCTGGCGAGCCGTACCATACCACAAAATATTCCGTGTACTATAAGCTGTGGTTGTGTTATAAGAGTGATAGTCAATCTCTTAGCGTGGGTGATGGAAATTAAGGTACTGATGATATAATTTCTTGTTCAAAAGCTGCGACATTTTTATATTATAAGATCTATTGTAAATAACGAGTTATTTCACACTTTGATGTTATACTGTTTACTGTGAACATTACCTTCATACTTATACTATATACGGTCTATTTAGTACATATAGTATTCCCGTCTCTATTGTTATTAAAAATGAGATGATGTATTATTGTTCAAGTCCGTATAAAAAGTATCCTTTCAAAACGATGTTGAATGACTGGGGTATACGAGTTGAAAACCTATTTTAGGGCATCCGCTAACGTAACTGATTACTAAGCGTCTAGGATTTGTTGAAAATATTAAACTTACTGATTTATTTGATAATAAAAAATACAAACACTGTGCACTCAATGACACTACAATTTCGAAATACACAATATAAAAAAATAGCCAAAATTTACTGCTTCAAGGATATCATAAATAAATAACATCTTGTAAACTTGGTTCATTGGAGAAATGGAAAATAAATATACGAAGCTAAGCCTAACTTGCGCAAATTGTTCAGAATAAAATAACAGCCTTATCGCATACTCAAAAAATCGACTGGATCTGTTTTCTCAAACCATCATGCTTATACATATAGCTCTCACGTCTACTACAAGCCATCATCAAGATCATAAGGTATTGGTTCAATTCTGATAAAATAGTTAACATACACAAAAGATGCGCTTTCGAATAGTTAACTATTCTTCTTCTTCAGGAGAATAAAGGGCAATGATTTTTTTTAGTGAGTGCAATATAATATATATATACATATATTAACAGATGTCGACGTCACGTAAGCTGGACGTTCCAGATAAGTTGATATTGGCTAGCCTATATATTATATTGCACTCACTAAAAAAATCATTGCCCTTTATTCTCCTGAAGAAGAATGGTCAACTATTCGAAAACGATCGAGTTTTGGATTTTTTTTCTTTTCTTTGTAAAGGTATTGGTTGAACGAATTGTCAAACAAACTTATGATAACATGGTTTTCAATCACGTGATGTCTCTGCAACGCGTTGGATCAACACGTAATGGCACTGTAGATAGCTAGCGAACATCGACGTCATGTTGCATCAATATCATGAACCACTGTAGTGGTTTATAATACAGACCGTCCATCTGTTTTTCTTTAGTATTATTTAATATTGTTCCACCAGCAAAAATGGCTGTGTGTATTGTAATAAAAACCTGGGCAGAATTATTAATGCATCATTGCACATTGTGTTGGGTAGTTTTTAGGTTTATTTGACTACCTAGCAAATAACAGCTGTTATATAACCTCTCACACCCAATCAATTTAATGTAGTCTGTGGTTTATATGGGGTCTCATAATCTACTACACGCATACATATAAAGTTGCGCTAAAACCTTGAATGTAATTTAATATTTATATGGCAGGAATAACGTGTGCCATAGCGATTAACTTATTCCTGCAACTTTATTGATGTCGCGCAACATTTGTTTATGTATAGAGTTCCTGCCCTTTCAAACACCACACTGCTGACAGGATAACAGTTTTTGTTGTTGTTTTTTTTACCACTACATATGCAATTTGGGCCATGTTACACAAACGGCTACAATGTTATACAAACGTCTGGGCTATCTCCCACAACAGAAATCTTTAAGTCGTAGTTTAAAAGATAGCACTAAGCTCAATTTCAAGCATCGGATCGGCGGCAATCATCGTAATGGCTGATGCTAAGTATCGAATTATAGCCAACACCGCGTGATGGAAAATTGTATTTATACTGCAGCACATCTTTAAAGCTGACTATAAGAATTGTGGAAGCAGGAGATGGCGATTCTAGGCGAAAGTGGGGAAGAAATTTTGTAGCTATATATTTGATTTACAAAATATTTAATTTCATATCAAGTGTGCAGCAGCGACGGCCCACAATAGAAGAGGGTCACAGAAGTGTCACGACCCAAACTGCATCAGAAATTGAGGTGGGAAGTTATATCAATATAATCAATTCATAATTGTTAATTAACACGTTTTCAGCTGTGTAGAGTATGCAAAATGTCATTCTAAGAGGATATCTAGCGAACTGCAGTAAAACCGTGACCGGCCTTACTACTGCCAGCAGAGAGGAAGACGAATATAACTATAAGAAATATAAAAAATGCTTATTTGTACACTTATGCTATTATATTGTGACACACTGTTTTATATTTGCTTTGAATATATATGCATGCATCTACACAGCTTGAAAATTTCATATGGCTGTCTATATATATACGTCTTTACAACTTAAAAAACTGTAAAGCCTGCAGGTGTTTATATAGATGTAAATACTAGCCAACACTAGTATAACACTCATGCAGTTAAAAAATCCAGTTCATGCACCATTACAGTATAGTTGAGTAGTCCCTCCAATAAGTGGCGTAGCAAGAGGGAGGCAAGGGGGCAGTCGCACCTGGGCGCAGGTGTGAAGAGGCACAAAATTTCCTCTGGCCTATAATGCCTATTAATTAATAATTATGCCCTCCCCTAGGATATTTGTTTGTTTGTAATTATGCACAAAGCTACACAAGGGCTATCTGTGCTCTGCCCACCACGGGTATCGAAACTCGGTTTCTAGCGTTGTAAGTCGCAGACATACCGCTGTGCCACTGGGGGGCCCCTACGGACTATAG